TGTGATGGGGTCCAGCAATCTGTGTTCTAGCAATGCTCCACGTGATTCTGATACACACTCAAGTTTGAAAACACTGGTCTAAAATATTCCAGAAGATGAGCTTGTGTACTAGAAAATCAGTCAAAACCAAGGGTTAAGTCTCACTGTCATGACATGAACAGGTACAGAAAATGAATTTTTACATACTTAAGTAACACATGTCCTCTCAACAGGGAATAATTTGTGCCAATCAGAAAGGGCAAGAAATTAAACCAGGCTCAATGGGGAAAGGAGTACTACCTTATGATGTACAGGTAGGTAATATCTGACTGCTTCAGTAAAGAAGACAGAATGCTTTTGGTTTCTGCTATTCATACATACAACTATTCATAATCAACTATTTTCATTTTGTGAAAAGAAAATCTTAAGAACCTAAATTGTTTCTTTCATTCTAGATTATAGATGAAAATGGCAACATCCTACCACCTGGCAAAGAAGGGGAAATTGCCCTCAGACTAAAGTCTACAAGGCCCTTCTGTTTCTTCTCTGAATATGTGGTATAAGAACATAGAATGTGCTATTCACACTTTAATAGAAAATGTGGTATAGGGAGGAGTATACAGATTTGGGTCCAAATTTCGTATCCACCATGTTTTGTCATGTAACAATGGGCAAGTCACAAAATCCAAGTCTACTGCATCTGTAAAATGGGAAGAGTATCATCTATATCCTCAGAGTTTTGTAAAGATTAAACTCTATGTTAGAAACCAATTGCAGTGGTTGTACTCAGAAAAGACAACAGGGCAGGCTGCAGAGGTGGGAAAGACAGGGATATGGAGCACTGGAGATGGAATTTTTTATTATACTCTTGGACCTTTTGTATTTTAGGAACTAAAATTTTTTTAAATAATTTCTTTTATAAATAGAATGTGCAAAGCACTAAGTCACTTCATGGATGCCATACCTCTTTCCATACTGATCAAATTTATCCCAGAAGTCATCTTTGATTTGCAGGACAATCCTGAGAAAACTGCTGCCACGACAAGAGGGAATTTTTATATCACTGGAGATAGAGGAGTGATGGATGGCGACGGGTACTTCTGGTTTGTCGGCAGAGCTGACGATGTCATCATATCCTCTGGGTTGGTATATTTGCCACTTTTAGAAAGTAGAAGTTTGCCAGGGGAGATCTTGTACTTGGGTGGTGTAGTGATTAAAGACTTCTTTTCCTCTTCCAGGTACCGCATTGGGCCATTTGAGGTGGAGAGCGCCCTAATTGAGCACCCAGCAGTTGTTGAATCAGCTGTTGTCAGTAGTCCAGACTCCATCAGAGGCGAGGTAGAGTGAATATCACTAATCAAAGTAGCAATTTCATATTTTCAAGATCTGTTCTTTGACCACTCTGAAGAGTGAATCAAGAGTTATCATTATGAGGCATATGTGACAAACTGTATACTAGGCAATCAATTTTACAAATGAGTTGTGTCCCAAAGGCGATGTATTAGGATTCTTTTGGTGGCAAGTGACAGAAACTCAACCCAAACTGACTTAAGTTAAAAACAAAACAAAACAGTGAGGTCTTCAGGTACAGCTACATCCAAGGGTTCACTGAAATTAAGCAGAACAGTCTCTCTCCATCTCTCTGCTCTGCTGTTCTTCAGGTCAGTGACTTTCAGGCAGGTTCTTCCTACCTGAGAGCAACCAGCTCCATACGTACACAGCTCAACAACCCCAGGGTAGGACACAACTCTTTCCAACAGTTTCAAGCAATGAGAACAGCATTTGCCTATCTTAGATTGTATCTCTAACCAACATGGTTCAGGGAATGGTATATGCTGAATGGCCAGACCTGGATTTATGCTAGTCATTAGAGGTAGAAGTTAGTGTCAACCCCACCAGACATAAGTTAGGGTAATCCTCCATAGTAAAATCAGAGTGCTTGTTACTAAAGAGGGGGGAACACACACTAGATTAGCAAAAGCAGATTTTACTGTATGTACAATTGTCATGGAACTCAGGATACAGTTTCTCACAGCAACAATGCAAATAGGAGATTATGGCCAGGTTCCCAAACATGTCCCACAAGCCTACTTAGGACCAATGAAAAGAAACTTAGGGAATGACAGCAGTAGCCTTAGTTTTAGGAGGAAGACACGTAGTATATGGAGGGGAGAGGTTTCTTTTCCTGTTTTCTAGACTCAGTAAGTGGCAAAATTTCAAAAACGTTTTGTCTATCAACATCCTCCCAAATCTCTCTCTCTCCTCACTCTCATACAGCAGTGACTCTTTGCAACAACACTGTGGGTCCCATACTTTGTACCTCCTGTACCACCTCCATGCTCAATGGATTCCGTTCTCCAAAATATTTTTCCCCTGCCACCATATTCTCATTCTCCCAATATAAATGGTTTCAACTGAACATCAGAAATAAATGCCAATTAAAATCAATGTATGAATAATTTAAACTAATCTAAAAAATTATCAGATTGGTGAGTTTTAAATAATATTACAAAAAGAAAGCCAAAAATATCAGGCAAAAAAATGTTTTAGAGGAAGATCAATCCTGAGAGTCCATCTCCCAGCAGACACAAACCCATCAGGCCTCCCCAAACCCCTCTCAATCCACATATTCTTTAGAACCCCTATTTGCCCCCCAACAACATAGGTTTAACAGCAGTATAAGTTAGGTGGATTAAGTGGTATCTGTAAATCAAGTATTGCCTGTACAAAAAGTAGGGTTGGTCTCATTGAAATGTTAAACACATGTGTGACATGTAAGCAACACTCAACCTTTAGCTTTACTGAACCACTGCATTCCTCATATACATAAACCATTTGTCTAGAATTTAATCTCAAAACCTCACTTGTTGCATCCAAGCTTTGTTCAGAGGTTCAGAGGTGATCTCCGGCATTTGCATTCATGACTCAAGCTATTGGCAGATGACAGGTACCTGTGTTCAGCACAGATCCCAAACTCTGGATGTATCTGAAAAAACAAGGGTTATCAATATAAACTGACTTTTCTACTGCAGGTAGTGAAAGCTTTTGTTGTCTTATCTGCACCTTTTAAGTCATCCAACCCAGAGAAATTAACTGTTGAACTTCAGGATCATGTGAAGAAATCAACTGCACCTTACAAATATCCAAGAAAGGCAAGTCTTTTGCCCAAAAGTTAAGTGTGTGTTATTAAACAAGAGTCTAAGCTAGTAAGTATGTAGATTTTATTAGTTTTTGACTTTACTGTAGCTTGTTATTTGAGTAGGAGACACCTATTTCAATTTTTTAGCCCTAAGAATTTTGCTTTCAAATGTTTTATGTTAGGACACTACAAATGCTTGATAAACCAGAAGTTGTTATCAGCTCTGCAATATTGAGTAACTACTAGGAACTAATCAGTTCTGTTCCTTATGGGGGGAGGAAATTATGGCACATTGTTTTTAAAGACAGTACTTGACTCATCCGACATAGTACTGGGCCATAATATACGTACAAATTAAAAGCTCAGGAAGAAGATATTATCCAAAGAAACTGGCATCTTTCCTGTAACCTTCTTCAAGGGAGGATTTAAGAGCTAAGTCTGTATAAAGGCACAAGAGATAGCACTGCAGTTTCCTTCTACTCCGGGAATCCTATTGGTATTTTGACAGACACTGACTGATCCTTCTCATGAGAATTCCATTTCAATTGGCATTATTTCAGCCAAAAGGTGTTCATTTCAACCTCAGAACTACATTTTCTTCATTAATTCACTAAATCAGTGACCAGTTTTCAGAAATGCTTGAAAACGTTTAAAAACACCATTGTTGTATCTTGAGTGGGTAAGAGGATTTTACTGTCAAGCCAGAGCATAAAAGGAAAATTGTATATACTCAAAATTATCACAGCCTCCAGGACCCAGCTTTTAAAAGTTCAAAACCCGAGAATTAGCTTGCTGTTACTCTGTGCATTTAGGTGTAGCCTCTATCTCCCTGTGGGCAGTAGAGACCTAGGTCATGTTTGAACTGAGGGAAAGCAATGAAGGATTATGCTGTACTGGCAAAGCATAGTGAATTTGCACTAAAAACCCCTGTGATGGAGCTCCATTGTCTTCTTAACTGTATAAATGAACCATTTCTGGTGTCTAAGAAATTCAATAAACTTAGCGTAGGCTAAGACAACCCCCAGACTCTGAAACTCAATGCCAGAGTTTCATGAAAGCTCTCTCCTATCATACAGACAGTTGGGAGAGTCAAATGCAATCATCTCCTAATATGTTTTTCTGTTAATTAGGTGGAATTTGTTCAAGAACTCCCAAAGACAATCACTGGGAAAATTAAACGCAATGTTTTAAGAGACCATGAATGGGGTCGAAGATAGCCTGAAAAGAAACCTGTGGCATTTAGTAGCTTTCAAGCTGCTTTCTTTCAGTTCTTGCTTTCTGACAATTCTTTGACTACTCTCTTAAAATGCCGAAGATTTTTCCTGTACTGAATTTTTTTTTTACTTAGACAATAAATAAAATCTAAAAATATTTGGGAAGAAAATAGTTATGATGACCAATGATTGTAATGATTTGTCATATTTGAAATACAAGCCAAATGATTACTGAGAAAGGCACAGAGAACAATGAATTTACCCTGTGCCTAATTAATTCAAAATAAAGATTAGAATTATTCTAAGAGAACTGTTCAAGCCATAATTTCTTCTGCTTAACATCTTTACACATTAGTAATTAAGGTGGACTAAAATATTAAAGCTAAAATGAGTAAAGTAACCCCAAAATGATAAGTAAATTTAATTAAGTACTGTATTATTATACCTCATTTTGAAGCAAATTCACTGTAAAACATAGTTTGGATAACTTACATGAATATTTAACTATTCGAAAGCAATTAAAACTATCTTTGTACCTGTTTTTTTAAGACAATGTATATGACTTTTATTGATACATAATTTGATATATAAACATCTTTTATGACATATCTACTTATTACAAAGCAAGAGACATACTAAGCATAAAAAAAGAAAAAACACACCACATGAATATTTAGGGAATAAATTTATTTTTGTCATTCTGAAAATATCAGAAATTGAAAAACCAGCTGCATACTTGGCTATAACAAAAGGAAAATAGAAGTAAAAACAACATTTAGAAATCCTGTATAACCTTACAGAAACAAGTTTTAAAATAGCAGATTTAGTACCTTCTCCTCCATAGAGCAGAACAAGTTTACTATACCACAGCAATGTGGCAGAGTTTTTGAACTGACAATTTTTTTAAAGAACAATTAAAAGAAAAGGCAGCTCAATTCCCACCCTGGAATCTTGTCATGTTTAAAGTAACATGTTCAAATGTCAGTGGAAATAAACAGTTGGTAAACCTGAAAACAAATCTTTCAATGAATGAATTCAGATCCCAACAGAACACAGTACTTCACAGCTGGGGAAGAAGAGCTTTTGTCACACTCCAATCTTACCAAATACAAATACAAAAGCAGATTAAAAACAAACCACTAAATCAAAATCCTATAGAGAAGCAGCCTTCACAAACTAAAAGGAACCCAGTTCCACCAAGTTGTACATTGTAAGCATATGGCCAATTTTATTCCCCGAGTCTTACATTAACAAAATAGAAGTATTTTTGTCTCAGATCAACTCTGATGAAGTAAACTAAATCCTGTCCTCGTTTCCCTAAATTTTTAAATGCTCATATGATCCTTTTCAGATGATTTCAACCTACTAAGAGTTAATATTCCCCCAAATCTGAAGACATAAGGAAGTTCAGCCCCATATGCATTAGCACTACCCTGTCTGCTCTCTTTGCCCCTCACAAATCTTTCTACTCTGGTTTGCCAAGCAGGACCACTAGCTAGGAGGATAAAAATATATTACCATACTGTTACATAAGCACAGCCATTGCTGTGGGAAGACTTAACATTTATAATACTTTTGAACTTTTAAAAATGTAACTAAACCCATCTCCAAAACTTAATTTCACAGCCCCTTAATTTCTCAACCTGAACATCTTATTTTGCAGTTCTTTTTGGTGTCTCTTCCAGCTTTTTCCAGTAGTTTTACACTGGAGGAACCCTTGGAAAACCTCAAATTAAGGAAACCCTGAAGGGTAAGCGAGTGTCAGCACCAAGTTGAAGTACACTCTTCACAGAAATCCCAACCAGTCAGAGGAGGACTCAGAGTGTGCCCTTCTCAATTAATGCACATGGGCCTACTGCACACTGCCAGAGCTGAAAAGATTGCTAACAAAATTGTTAACAGAGGTACTCAATCACTGTTCACTACTGTGAATATGAGATTATGCAGCACACACAAAGTTCAAAGCAGTACTTTCAGTCACAATTTTATGTGGATTCCCAGTAACATCTCACAGAACCCCAGATGAGAAGCCCACCTCCGACACCAATTTTTTTTCCTATGAAAGGTCATTTTCATTTGACTCAGATCCTTCTGTGACTTCACTTGCAAGTTCAGGTTTAGCTCTCCCCTCAGTCACCACCTGTGTCTCAGACATTGGTTTGCTCTGCTCCAGTTCCTCACTATTCTCCAGGACTGCTTCCTGGTTATTTTTTTCTTCTGGGTCACTTTGATCTGATTTGTCACCAGATTCCAATTTAGCTTCTTGCCCATTTCTTGCTTGTGCTGCCTGCTTTGGGTGAAGCTGTGATGGGTCCTTAGCATTCTTCACCACCTCCTGGAGATTATATTTTCTGAACAATATGTAATCTTTCACAACACCGAGGCAACACACAGCTTTAATGATTTCTACTACCACTGTGTACTGTGGACTGGTAAGATCCACTTTATTTTCCGAATTGAGGCTGCCTACTATTCCTGTAACAAAAAGAATGGGGAAACACTTAGGGGAAGAAGGATACCATGAAGTTTGATGGACACAAAAACAATCTCTCACCTCTTTCCTGTTTGCAACTTAGTAAAGCAAGGTACATAATTAGTTCACTCGTCTATAAGGACCTCAAACAAAGTCCCTGAACTCTTTCAATAAATACAAATGAAATCCTGAGACATTTTATCAGTACTTTTCTTTCCCAAAGAAAATTCATCTTGATTTGGAAAAGACTTGATATCTAACTATCAGAAAATTTCATATCCAACATACTAAAATTGGTTTATTTGGTATTAAGGACATTTTAATATACTTGTTCTACACTCAAAAATGTTAAGCCTCAAATCTTAAAAATAAAAAATTCCTGAATACAAGAACAAGTACTATATCACTGCACATCAAGGTAAAAACCAAGGGAAACATACCTGCCAATTCTTTGATAACCTCTTCTCTATTCATATGACTATTATTTCGAGATTTGTATATAATCTGAAATGTCCCTTTGTTTGGAGCTTTAAACCAGGGTTCCAAAAATGTTTCTGCATATTTTTTCATATCTTCTAAGAAAGCCTTGCATGTGCCTGAGATGGGTAACATTCGTAGAATAACCCGAGTCTTCTTCTTTTTGGTTTTGTACATATCCTGGAGAATATGATGTACCAATTTCTCAGGTTCTAAAGGAAAAAGAAAAAAATTAGCACAGAACAAACAAGTTAAAAACAAGTTCTCAGACATTTTAAATTCTTTTCAAACTCTGAATTTTCACTGGTGGTGCCTACACTGACAGGAGAGAAGAAATTATCATAATGAATTTTTAGTAAGAATAACCAACCACTTTTTTCCAGTTAATATTTCTTCAGTGTCCACTATGTAGTAGTGTGGTATCTAATATTTTAACTCTTCAGCGTCACTGCTTTCACTAAAAATAACTGTTCATGAAGACAGTGGAGTTAAGAGTTTTATCCAATAACACCACCATACTGCTGTTTTCCTATAAAAATAGCAAAATCAAAGTAACAAACATTACTGCACACAGTTTCCAAAAACAAAAACAAAAAACCCTGCAAGACACTTTAATTAATCCATTAGCTAAGTGCGTATAGAAGCCTAGACCTCAGACCTTAAAGGAACCACAAAATGACAAGTTGCACAGGATCATGACGTAGTCCTTAGACTGCATACAAATCCGTTTTGAGCTGCTCAGTTTTCAATACTTTTAAGTAGGTAAAACTGCATTTAAAAATGTAGGAACTTTTCCAGACTTCCAACTTCTTTTGAAAATTGGAATATTTGGCTCTACTAGGACTGTATTCCCAAATAGCTAGAGTTGTTTCAAACTGGCTGGAACTGAGTTGCAGCTGCTCCTTTTAGACAAAACATGTACTCCTGTTTTGCCTAAAGTTACATACAAAGGAAGTAGTAAAGCCAGGTTTCTATTCCCAAGCCAATTAGCCTAGCGCTAACAGTGTAGAAAGGTTGCAATCCAAATGACTGACTGAGCCACAACCACAAAGCCATTTTGTAGGTGGTGTTCTCTGAGATAGAAATGTCTAGGTATTTTAGGATCAATAAAGCATATTAGTCAGACACACCTATCCCAAGTGTCCTGATGAAGACTACATTATTTGCTCCACTCTCTACTGACTGGAATCTTCTTAGCCTCATCTCTGTAGATGCCTTAATGTCACCAACTTCTTTCTTCAAGGCAGTCTCCACATCATCATCTTCTCCCTCATTTTCAGAGGGCTGCTCATCCTTGCCTGTAAACTGCTTGCATAAAACAAATGAGCAAAAATGCCACAAAGTTCATATTAAAAACTATACTTACTTATGAAACCCCCAATGGCAGGTAGCTCAATATTGACAGTAAAGCCTTTTATTAAGAGACTGAGCCATCACTCCCTCCAAAATGTGGAAGAAGGGAATTCCCTCCGTCTGTGGTGCATATATAGTTGATCCTTGAACAACACTGGGACTGGGGCACCAATCCCTCACCTGCAGTCAAAAATCTGCTTATAACTTTTGACTCCCCAAAAACTTAACTCCTAATAGCCTACTGCTGACTGGAAGCCTTACTGATGACATACAGAGTTTACTAACACATATTTTGCGTATGTGTTAAATACTGTATTCTTACAATAAAGCTAAAGAAAAGAAAACATTTTCTAAAGTTGTCACACATCTCCAAAAATCTTTCCAGTATATTTATTGAAAAAAATCTGCATGTGAGTGGACCCATATAGTTCAAACCCATGTTGTTTTGAGTATCAACTGTAATTTGAAAATGTTCTCAAAATCATCTTGACAGTCTGGGGCAGTGGGAAATTTTGCTCACCAAATGTATCATTTCAGGGTAGACCTTAATCCCTCACTAGGTATCTCTGTGCCTGATATGACTATCTGCTTTTGGGGAAATCAGATCAAACAGTCATGGAATTAAAAACCCTCACTCCTTTTCTACTAAAGAGCAGGGAAAAATAATGGTTCTTGTCCTAAAAAAGATCGAACTTGCTCAAGTTACCAGTGTGGACAAGACATGTATTTGTTGCCAATTCTCTGTCCCACCAACGGAGTTGCCAATCAGGCACTAACAACAATTATGCACATTCATGGAGACTTTATTATATACCAGGACATATTTTAGGTACACAAAAAATAATTGGCTAAAAAGTTGCTTAAATACTTTCATAACATTACCGTTTTCATCTAGCTCAGCAGAATTAAATAATGTGCCCATGCCTAAGCCCTAGAGCTAGTAAATGATTGTACCTGATTTCAAATCCCCTCTGTTTTATAATTCTTCATTTAAGCCCTTGGAGTTTTCGTGTTCAGATTCCAAACCAAGAATATAAAGATTTCCAAACTCAGTTGGGACAATCAGGTTTCAGGTGGTTCTGGTAAAAAATGTTTTACTTCTTAAAATGTACTTTTACGTGCATTTGAGAAATAAATGGCACTGCTACAGGCATTCCTAACAGATACTGCTTAAGACACACACATTATTACAACCACGACGTTCAGATGGTGATAAGATATGGCGAAAACCTTGACACGGGATGAAATCTGCCTTTGTGAATTTGGACCATCTGTTCAACCTACTTGAACTTCAGTGTCCGCGTGAACATTACTTCAGAACACTTACCGTAAGAAGTAAATGTTTCTGAAAGAGCTTCAAAACCACACCGCCCGGAAGGCAGTATACAATCTATAAACCGGAGCCACCGGGAATAAAGATGGGAAAAAGGAAAAGGCCGCGGTGCAAGCACTCGGAGCGAAAGACCCGGCAGTGGTCCGCAAACCAGGCCCGAGAGGGCGAGAACTTAGGCAAGGCCACGCCCCTTCGCCGAGAGCGCGAGAAAACTCCCCGGGCGTGTGACCGCAGTTGGCCTTCCGGCCTTCCCTCCTCCCTCAGAGGACGGCTGGCCGGCTCGTCCTCCGGGGCCCCTACCTTTTCCGGTCCGTACAGGTCGTCGGCGTATTCGTTAAGCAGGCTGTAGGCCTCTTCCACGCACTTGCGCTCGTTCATGTTGCAGGTAATGAGAATGCCCTGCAGCCCGGGTTCCAGCTGCCGCGGCCCACCACTGTCGCTGCGCCGAGCCCGCTTGGCCTGCACGTATTGAGCCTTGCCTTTGCGCTTCCCGCCGCCAGCCTGAGGAGGCTGCTGGAGTGGGGTCGCCATGGTGCACGAGCGCCAAAACGGGAGAGAAACGTTTCTCGGCCGCACTTGACGACCTCACTTCCGCTGGTGCAGGCTATACGTCATGGGTGAGCGACGGCCTCCCCTAATCCGGCCCCCACGTTTCACTCGTGCTGCGCGGGGTTCTAAAGCAAGTTGGCGGCAGTTGTGAAGAGGTGGTGCTTAGGCCCTCCTCTAGGCCTCCTGCAGGATTGCTTCACCTGCACTTATTTTTCCTCCACCTGGAGAAGCAACCTGCGGGTAGAGCTGACCTGTATTAGATGCTGAGCTCCAACTGGACATACAGATTGTGCTTGCAAAGAATCGTTACATATACTTATATTCATTGATTCATTTAATTAATATTAATTCAGCAACTATTTGCTAGTTATTGTTCGAAGTACTGAGGTTGAGACCATTAGCAAAACAAAACACACTTTCTACTCACTTTGCCCTTACAGGCCATTATATCTTTGAAGTCAGTGAGTCTGCCAAACCATCCTTTATTTTTGGCTTGAAATGTGCATATTCAATAGACTTTCTTTTAGTATTCCTGTTGCAGGACCCCAGAAGTACAAAGAAAAACAGGACAGAAAGTATAAGAAACTAAAGTCTGAAACCTGATTATCAGAATGAGAAATATGAAATACAGGGAAATTTGGTCAAACTTCTTAACATTAAATTGTCATTATTGGAACATTTTAACATGTAAAACATTACTTCCTAAATTATTGTCCATATAAATTTCTTCACGTGCTTTAGTTGTATTAGGTAGAAAGACAGACTTGAGCAGCCAGGGAAGGGGAAGATGAGGTTCAAGAAAATAATGCCCAGTTAGAGGGTCCCACTAAGACAACAGAGGCTTTGCAGGGAGATAACTTCCTTGCCTGTGGAGCCAAACTGGCCCCAGGCCCAAAAGAACAAAACTAAGAACTGCCCAAACTACACCTCATCATAATTTCATTAAAATAAAATTGTGGTTTTGCCCCTCCACATCACGGGCTTTTCTGGGTGAAGACAGGTGCACTAAGAGGAATGGTGTGTAATTAGAACTGTCAATCAAATGACCTTAGCCTGTCAATCAAAGAGGCACCATGGCTGGGACATGATTAAATAGACCCTCCCCCTAAAAGACCAGGGACTTTGTCTACCTTGACTCTGGCCCACTCCTTCCTTGGAGTGTGTTCAAATAAAACTTTAACTCTGCTTAGCTACTGTGTCTCTACATTTTCTTTGTCTCAGCCAGGAGAACAAACTCAACCTGAAACAGTTTGACACTGATGTCAAAGCAGGTGACAGTGAAATCTTGGTGTACAATTGTTCCAAGTACACTTGTGTCAGACAGGAAATCACACTCTTCAAATCTGAGCAAAATCATGAAGACATAAATGAGGGTTTTGCCTTTGTTGTCCTAGTTAGGATTACCTAAATCCAGTGACCCAAAAATGTGGAGTTGGGTTGTAGTAAGAAGTCAGGAATAAAGACCCTCTTATTTATTATGAGGCCTGTATCTCTCAGATACCCATTCTTGTGACTCTTGTGATTCTTTGTGAAAAAATTAATTCTGATATGAAATAATAGTCTAGAAATTCACATACATATAAAAGAATTTTTACTAATAGTAAAGGAAAATATTCATCTTCTGGTCTCCAATGTAGTATATGTTGCCACTTCCTTTTGTTCATACTTGTCCCCCAAATATTTCAGAATCCACTCCTTAGTCTGGATAGATAAGCAGTCTATCCAGAGTTAACACCCCAGAAGTGGTGGCAGTGGTGAACATTCCAGAATGTTGATGTCAGTCCCAGCTTCCCACTCACCCAGCAACCCTGGACACCTGTTCCTCCAGCCTTCTGTATAATTCTGTCAATTTCTCAAAGGCTTCCAATAAATTCCTTTTCTTCCTAAATTTGCCAAAATATGTTTCTGTATTATTTAAAACCAAGAAGTTGGCTTTTGTATCTCACTGCTTTCTCTGCGGTCTTTTTATCCATAATCTCAGCAACTATCATGTTAATATATTGTCTTTTTAAAATCATTGAGAAGATGCCTTTTGAAGACTGTGTTTAGGAGGAGCAAGTACTCCCCATTACTCACTCCCAGCTATTCCTGAAGTACAAAGCTATTGCCAGGTTTGAGTTCCTGCAAATCCTGAAGGAGGTAATCCGATATTGAAAAGGGGCACGGAGCTGAAAGTAATTTTTGGTTCTAACTCCAGACATACAACTACTTCCAAAAAAATTATCATCATCTTACTTAGTCCTTCCACTTATATATTCAGCGCAGCCTTTACTTCTCAGAATGTCATTGCATAGCATTGATTTTGGAGGTCCACCGCTGATTGTGGAGAACAGTCTCATTCCACTGGCATTGCTGCAGGAGGCATAAAGAAAGCTGGATGAAACTCTTATTTTTCTTTTCATCCTCAGTGTCTAAAATAGTGCCTGGTCCATAGTTAGGTGCTCAGAAATGTTTTTGAATTGAACTCAACCCAAAAATGACCAACAAAGGAAAAAGGTTAAAACTCATGCTATTAAAAGAAAGTACACCCAAGTCCTGATCCCATTAAACCATGCCAGAGGAGCTAGAAAAGGATATTGATCTCCCCCAGAATCTTTCTCTCTTCTTCTGGCTGTTGTAGTTGCTCATACATTGCTCTCTGTGCTTAGGATCTTAGAAGTTAGCATATTTGAGCCCTGAGCATATTTGAGTCCTCCATGCTGGAAATGCAAATCAGAAGTCAAACTTGAAAAACCAAATTCAACTTACTGTATTTCATGTTTGTTGATTATACTGGTAGCACCCCTATTAGGGTAGAAAAATATGCAAACCTCCAACCGCCAGACCAGAGGTTAGGATGCTATAAATTGCCCCAATTATTCTGTGGCAACCACAGTTGACACTTCCACTTACTTCCTCCTGAACCAGGCCCTTAGTCCAACTCTAAATAACAGCCTTCTCTTATTCTTGATTATTCTTATTTGTTTATTCTTTTTAAGTTTTTCCTCATGATTAAATTATTGTTTCATTAAGATAGTGATTTCCTTGGCAATGCTGAAAACATGTTTTTATAAAGTTTTTACCCGTGTGAACTTTTACCTCCTTAGGTTACAAGTCATGTCAGAGGTCTAGTGTCTATCACTGGGCACCAAGGGCACTATGATGTGGCTTGTAAACCCCTCTTCTGGCTCCTGTATATGTGAGTGTTTTTTACGACAAGGAATGTTGGTGTTATAGAAAGGGGCCTTTACACCTTGTCGAGCAGATGAGGGTGCTCTGAGGACATGGCCTTGTACTCTATCTAACCTATTTGCTGCATATATTCAGTAGGGCTTACAGCCCAGCAAGTGACGAATGCTATAAGATATTCTAAATTCCCTTTCTCTTTCTAACCTTCAAAGTTACTGCCATTTAACTTTTACTTTTATGTTCAGTACAGCATCTATCCTGACCCTGAACACAGACAGGAGACACCTTAGATATTCCTCCTGTCTGACCTTGCTCTCCTTCCAGGGTTTCCGGCCTTATTCTGTTACCCAGCACCTTCATGCAATGTCCTGACACTGAACCCTCATCTCCTGCTCACTCGATTTCTCAGTACCTGCCCCCTTCTGAGTTATTGTCATATATGATCAAAAGCCCAAATTCTATAGTCAAACCAAGTTCAGATCCCCATTCTGCCCTGTCCTGACTGTGGGACTCTGAGTAAATTACCTAAGCCAAGTTTCCTCCTTAGCTAAAAGAGTAATTTTAAGTGGAGACAATAATAATACCCACATCTTGGGTCACTGGAAAAATTCATTAAGATCAGGCACAGCAAGTTCACAGTCATTGTTCAATCAATGTGGACTTAAATACAGCTAGTTTGGAGCTCAGGGGTGACTCACTGAAACCTAGATTTCTGGGTCCATCCTTAAACCCTGTCACCAAAATTATTTGTCTCCTAATCTTTTATCTCAGTGGTCTTTTATATGTGGGACTTACTGACAGCTAACTTTAATTATTTTAGGAAAGAGGCCAGAAGAGAAACAAAGAATATTATAAAGTAAAATAAGACAAAATACAGGACATCAGTATGCCCTTACCCCTGCCAACTGGTTCCTGACTCTCCTCTGACTGAATGACACCTCAGGCCTCTCGCTGGCCCCATGTCCTCAGCTGACAGAGCTTGTGTCACACTTGTACTCTCACCACAGCCACAAGATGCAGAAGAAACATGCCAACATCCTGATCACCCGGGTTGGAATGCAACTTTGAGCGCATGTGAACTTGGGTCTATCGCTGCGGAAGCTCCATTTGGCCTGGCTCCGCACCTGCATGCATCTCCACTCAGCCCTGCCAGGGGCCTGAGACTCCGGACCCCAGCCTCTCCCAATTTGCTCTGTCCCTCCATTGTTGGAGGCTCCACTTTGATAGGAAGGCTTCTCTCTAAGGCAATGTTGGCATTTTGTGGACCCATGTTCTTGAGGGCAAAAGCGAATGAATCTCTTTCCTTCCAGCTTTCTTCTCTGACTTTATACTGTACACATGCATGAGTCTTTATCCTTAAAACTTTTCCTGATGTTTCATGGGTACTTCCTTCCTACTCATTTGAAATTTGGTTGAATCATCTATGTTTAAACTTCATTGCTTTATTATTTAGTTCTCCTTCTTTGAACATGTCTAGATCATCCTCCTGCTTTTTTACTTCCACTTCCATAAATGCTTCTAAGAATAAACCCCTAAAGGTAGAATCTCAGTTTTATAAAGGTGAGAAATACCTTCCCCTGCAATTCAATCATGCTATGAACCACACAGTCCACCAAATGCATCACATCAGGATTGGGTGAAACACTGATGCAAGAAGGATAAATTTCAGAGTAGATACAGCATGTATTTAAGATCCCAGGTGACTGAGGTTTAGAAGCTCTTTCAGCACAAATCAGGCCTAAATAAGAATAATGTACATTAGTACTTGGATTGAATAATTTATATTTTAATTAAAAATTAAAGGAAAATCAGTGAGAAAACAGCACTCTGTGTATAGACAGAGACAAATTGATTAAGAATGTACCTTGAGAGTTAGGCAATCTTGGGTTTAAATACTGACTGCACTACTTTGCTAGCTCTATGACCCTAGGAAAATGAACTGTTCTAACCTTCTTGCCCCTCATCTGTAATATGGGAATGGCTACTCTGTGTACCTCATAGTTCACTGTGAGCACAGTAAACATGAGCTGCTGTTTTGTTGTAGCTGCTGCTAATTGGAAAGTCTGGTAGGGATATTTTCCTCCAAAAAGAGTTGAGGTTAAGACCCAGGCTTTTTGTGTTGGTCAGTTTGCTTTGAAGTGTCTTCAGTCACCCCTACTGCTTTCCAGTAACCAAGAGACACCTTATTTTATCTAAATGTTTTGATATGAAAAGATCTACAGGATACATTAGAAAATGGAGGGAAAAACCAAAACAAGGTATGTATTGCATATTTACTTATGTCTGAATTCACATTCTAAAGGGGAATATATATGTGTACGTACATATATAAACATGTTTTAATCCTATGTGTATATATCCTATATATATATATATATATATATCAAAAAGATGCTTAGTAAAGCTTCTGCTGTTTCTTCACATTTCTCAACTAAAGGCCAAAGCTAAGGATTAAGAGACACTGTCTGTGTCCTTTGCGTTCTAAAGAGAACTGTCCTAAAAGACTAAGTTATGCAACTCTTTCCAGGTTAGTGAAAAGCTGTGGCTCTACTGGTCCTGCTACCTTGACACCACTCTGCTTGTTAGTGGACATCGCAAGCCTGGGCAGGAAAGACAAGAGAGCATTTTACCCTGTTTGCTGTGAGGGATACCAAGGGACCCCCTCATAAAGGGTAGAGGTGCCTGGAAGAAATCATATGACTAAAATTAATCTCCAGGTCCCCTCCCTTCCTCAGATGTTGACTACTTTCAATGCTCCAACCCTCTAATCATATGGTTGATCTTTCTGGTGACCAGACCCTTCATCCTGAGTTATCTTGTAAGCATAAACCCAGGTGTGACTTAGGGGGTGGGGTTCCATGAATAACAAAGGCACTTTCCATTACTCAGGAAATTCCAAGGATTTAGAGCCTTCAAGGACTTAGTAGCCAGGGACAAAGGCCAAACTGTTACACAATGGGCACATACCAAAATGAATTTGATTAACCTTGAGTCTCTGCAAGGTAATATTTAATGCCAAATGACAGTGGAACAAGGTCTACAGTTTCCTGAGGGAAAAAATATTTAACACAAAAAACACACCCTGACAAGTTAGTCACATAAAGTTAACAAACCAGCATTATCAACTAAGCAGAGTACAACCGTTACAAGCCCTGTGTAGAAAATAAAAAGCTGCTAGCTGTTCAACTCAGCTAATAAGAAAAAACATGAAAGAATACAAGGAAGGAGCAGCTGTGTGAAAAGGACTTTTGGTGAGCATTTAATCTACTTACACATTAGATCAGGGTTTCTCAGCTTCAGCACTTGAGGTTGGGGCCAGATCATTGTCATTGCTGTAGAGGTCATCCTGTACATGGTAAGCTGTTTAGCAGACTCCTGCTCTCCATCCATCCAATAGCACTGCCTCACCTCCCAGGTGTGACGACCCAAAATGTCACCAGACACGGCCCAGCTTCCCCCTCAGAGGCAAGTGCCCCCAGTTGAGAGTCACTGACATGAACTAATGCTTGGTAACTGAGGAAGTCGTGATTACGGAAGAGAATACATATGTCTCACAACCTGAGAATAATATAACTAACAAAAAGGGAAGGGACATAGAGGAAATAGAGCATATCAAGTGATTAATTTCTCAAAGTAGTTATTGATGGAGAAAGTTTAAGTAAAAAAATGCAGTTTTAAAAATCACTCCTATCACTTAAGATTTTCTTTAACTTTCATGGAATCTTCTAGGAATTTATGACATTTCTGGTGAAGAAATATCTACCTGGAGTTTGACTTTTCTTCAGTTTCACTTCAGTTGTTTTTCTGGCAGTTAAAGTTTTATATCACTTTACTTAAAATATTATTCATATCTTGAGTCCATTTTTTTATCAGTTTATCTACCTACCTTACACCTGTAAATATGTACAGAGAAATATTGAAAATGATGTGTGCCCAGAATTAGTAATGGTTGCTTCTTCATGATGAGTTATATTTGAAATGGTTTTTTACTTTATTCTTTATATTTTTCAATGTTGCTTGAATTTTAAAATGAACATGAATTACTTACATATAATTATTCCTCATTGTTTTTCTCTGTTATTTTTTTCAGTATATCATATTCATAGATATGGCTTCTTCACTCATTCATTTAACAAAGAATTTACTGACTATCTTAATGTGCTGGGCTGTGTTCTAGCTATTTGCAATTCAGTGTTGGGCAAGACAGATGAAGTACTTGCCTTCTAGTTAGCCTGGAATGAGCTGACAAGGACCTTTAGTATAATATTAATAAGAATTGGTAACCAATCCCTTGTTCCTGATTAAATAGCATGCCTCTAATATTTCACCATTAAATATTTCTAGTGTTTCAATATCAAAATAAGTTGCTGATAGATATCCTTTTTCACATTAAGGAAATTCCCTTCTATTCATATTTATTTGTTGAGGGAATGGGGGCTGCCACAAATGAGTGCTGAAATTTATCAACTACATTTCCTGTATTCATTGAAAGGGTCTTGGTTTTCTCCTTTTACCTTTTCTTGGGATAAACTCAAGCTTGTCATAATGGATTTTTAGTTTTTGTATATTGTTGGTTTCATTTTACTAATAATCCATTTTTTATTTCTTGTTTATGCTTACAGTTTGTCAGAGTTTGCCTGTGATTTTCTTTCTAGCAGTGTTTTAGTCCGGTACTGCCATCAATGCTATTCTAATCTCAAAAAATAAGATGGAAGAATGTCTACCCTGGGAAGATGAAGCAGACATACTTTTCCCTATTTCAACTAAAAGCTTTGGACATTATATATGAAACAAATATAAGAAGACTCTGAAAGGTATAGAGAAAGAGGCAGACTGGCGATTGACTTTGGAACCCAAAAAATGACTGCTGTGTCAGTTCCCTATGTTTTCTTCTTTGCTTCATATATTCTAGACATAGAGTTGAAAAAGCCAGCAACCTGGAAAGACCAGTAGGTTCAGACAATGAAAGCTCCATTTGAAGCCTGGTCTCTTTCGCTAAAGGACCAGGAAAAGAACAGTCTAGTAAGACAAAAATTAAAAAAAGCTTTTTAACAAGAACTGCTCTACTCCAGCCAAATACCACAGAAAAATTTGTGGGCTCTACCGATCCTCACCTATGCCAGCAAAAGTAGAGTGGGAAGCCTTTTACTCTCATGAGTTTGTAACAAGGTGACCCAATACCCACACTGGGAAGAAGGCCAAGTAGGGGGCAGGCCAGTGTCAGTACAGACCCCATGGTGAGTTGAAACTCCTATCCCCAACCATCAATAACAAGGAGCTCCTCCCACTCCAGTGTCATTGGAGACTGAATGGAGAACCTAGACTTCATATTCATCTGGCAATAGTGAGGTGGTGCCCTTCTGCTTCCTCTGTCAGAGCAGCATCAAACCAAGCCAGCTAAAACAGAAGGTATAACACCTAGAGTCTCATTACACTATGCAAAAATGTCCAAGTTTCAACTGAAAGTCACTCATCATACCAAGCAAGAACCAGGAAGATCTCAAATGAATGAAAAAAGACAACCAATAGATGCCAATACCAAGATGACAAAGGTATTAGAAGTAGCTGACAAAGATTTTAAAGCAGCCATGATGAAAATGTTTCAACAAGCAATTACAAATATGCTTGAAACAAATGAACAAATAAAGCCTCAGCAAAGAAATAGAAGATATCAAAAGGAACCAAATGGGAGTTTTAGAACTAAAAAATAGAAAAAGAGAAATAAAAAGGTAATTGGATGGGCTCAGCAGCAGAATAGGAGGAACAGAAGAAAGAAATCAGTGAACTAGAACATAAGCAATATAAATTACCCATTAATAATAGAGAGAAACCAGATTTTAAAAAAAGAAACAAAAAAGCACAGCCTCAGTGACCTGTGAGACTATCACAAAAGATCTAACATTTCTGTGTTTAATTCCAAAAAGGGTGGGGCTGAAAAATTAGTCCAAGAAATAATGGCTGAAAACTTCTTAAATTTGGCAACGGATATAAACTACAGTATCCAGCAATATATAAAAATAATTATACACCAGGACCAGGTAGGATTTATTCCAAAGAAACAAGGTTGTGTCACTGTAATCTACCTTATTAATAGGCTACAGAAGAAAAAAAATCACGTGATGATATTGATTCATAAAAAGCATGTGCCAAAATTCAAGGCTTAGTCATGATAAAAACTTTCAGAAAAATAGGAAAACAGGATAACTTCTTCAACTTGAAAAAAAGCATTTACAAATAACCTCAGCCAACATTGTACCTAAGCATGAAAGACTGAATACTTTCCCCCTAATATCACAAGGATGGCTGCTCTCACCATTCTTTTTTAACATAGTGCTAGAAATTCTAGCCAGTATAGTAAGTCAAGAAAAGGAAATAAAAGGCATATAGATCTGAAAGGAGAATGAAAACTGCCCCTATTTACAGATGATTTGGTTCACTATTTAGAAAATCCCAAGGAATTAACAACTCCTACAATAAAGTGATCAACAAACCCCTCATTTTGTGTAAGTGAATTTTAATTGAGTTTCTGTCACATGTAACTAAGAGTATTTTATTTATTCGTTTACCCATCAAACATTATTGATTGCCTAAAATTTATCAGCAACTGTTTAGGCAATAGTGATAAATCAGTGAACAAAACAGAGTTCTTAGTCTAAAGGGTGGTTATAAGCTAAATAAAGAGCTAAACCAGTTAGAGGGAAACAATGAGGGGTGCTAGTTTTGAAAATGTGGTAAGGGAAAGTCTCTTCAGCAGGACAGCTCATAAAATGAGAGATTTGGGCAAACGGATAGCTGAGGTGAGTGTTCTAGGCAGCGGGAACTGTAAATTCAAAGATGCCAAGGCTGGAATGTGTGTGGTAGGTGAAAGGAAAGGAGTGACACAGCAGCAATTCACTGGAGAGTTCCGCTTTATTAGGGAAAGGTGCTGGGTTATATAGGAAGGGGCATAGGGTGATTGTGGTGTTACTTCTACGGGGCTGGTGGCTGTTGGCTGGGTGCTGGGATTGGGAGAGGGGCGAGAGGTGATTGGGCTTCAGGTGGCGCTGGCGGGAACCGAGGACCCCCGAAGAGAAGCCGGAAGTTTGCCATCTTACTGGTGGGGGCCCTTCATTCCCCCCTTTCTCCTCTATGGGGTTGTGGACGTTGCTTTCTCTCTGGCTGCTTCCTGCTGAACAGGGGCGGAGAAGGGAGTGAGGGCTTGAGGACCGGGAGGAAAGGGTTGATAGGACTCCCCACAGTAAGGATGAGTAGATGTGGACTTCTTCAGGTTGGAAATCAATGAAGGTTCCCTGTAACCATAGGTCGAGGACCTGTTGATTCCAATGGTGCCAAGAGGATATGGGTGTCAGGAGCCAGGCGTCTGCGGCCATTGTTTCCAGGAACAGTTTCCAGCGGAGAGAGGGGTCCATCTCAGCATGTGGTGAGGAGGTCACGTGAGGGTGAGGGGTCTTCCGTGGCCAGAAGCTGGTAGTTCCTGAGTAAAAGCTGGTTGAAAGCTTGATTAGAGATTTTTCCGACTTGGGATTTGATGAACTTTATTATACAGGGTAAGAAGAGACAGACAAGAAGAATGACTATTATGGGGCCTGCAATGGGCCAGAGCCAGGTGAGGAGGGGGTTTGTTAGTATTGAAGAGAATGGGTTGGAATTGGAAGCAGAGTGGAGGCTGGAGGCAAGGTCAGTGAGTTTGGTGATGTCAGTTTCTACAATGCCGGATTCGTTGATGTAATAGCAGCACTCTTCCTGGAGGAAGACGCAGGTGCCGCCCTTCTCGGCTGTAAGCAGATCTAGGGCCCGCCGGTTTTGAAGGGTGACTTTAGCTAGCGAAGTGACCTGTCTTTGGAGAGAGGCTAGGGAATCGGCAGTGGATGTCAGGGCTCCCTCAAGTTTGGCGTCGAGATCTCTAACTGCCCATAGAGAGTGACCCAAGGCTCCTCCTGAAAACCCCACCCCAATGGCTGAGGTGATTAAAGAGATACCGACCATGATGGGAAGGAAAGCAGCCCTTTTTGTGCGCGAGTGCAAGGGAGGTTGGAGCTCAAGGAATTCTGCCATGCTGTAAAGTGTAAGCTGTGGGATTAGGGTGACGAGAATGCAGGGTGTATCGGAGTTGAGAGGCAGTGAGTTGAAAAGACTGCCATTACACCAAAAGAAGTGTCCCGGTTGTGTAAAAGTCTTAGAGCCGGAGGTAGGGGTGTAGATAGAGAGGCAGTGAAGTGCGCTGGAGGGGGGTGGAGTTGGGCCTACACAGTGGTGGATGGTGAGATTATCTGCGTATTCTGGTTCCCATAGGGGTATGTCTGCCAGGGGGCAGAGGGGTTGTCTTTCTGCATGGAAGGAGTAGTTGGAAATATTAAGGGGCACGGCGGCCAGCAGTGGGCGCTGTAGTGATGCGCACAAGAAACAATTGGCTGTGTTAAGGGTGTGGTTGAGAAAGATGGTGGTGTCCTGAATGAGCTGTAATGAAGAGTAGGAGAAATGGGAAGAGGGGTGGGGATAAGAAGATGAAGAGGCGCTATCAAGAGTTTGGATAATGACTTTTTCGGAATGTCTGCTATCTGATGCAACTTGAGAGATCTGGGAATGAGAGGGAACATACTTTCGAGAGATATGAAGGGTACTGTGGGGGGTCGAGGACCCCCCGTAGTAAACTGAGGCTGTGACTCTGGCAGCCCATCGAGAGTCCCAGGGATCTGGGATTGATAAGGAGAATGAGCCGTTGGGATATTTCATGAAACGGTTGGAGGAGTAATACTGTGGGTACTGGAAGTTACCCATGTAGTGAATGGTGCAAGACCAGTAGGGACATCCCCCGTAGGTGTCTGGCCATCGCCTGCAATAGGCTTGTTTTTGGTCATAGAGGAAGCAGAGGTAGGGAGAATAAGGGTAGCTGCTAGTGAACACTTCGGTGGAGGGAGGAAAGTGGAGGTATAAAGGCTCAGAGCAGCTTTTCAGAGGGCAGTCTGGTGTGGCAATGAGGGCAGTAACTTTTGTTTGATGCTGTGTGTAAGTCTGTCTGACTTTGAATCGCCATACAAAGGAGGCTGGGGTGGTGGGGAAGACAATAGGAATGAGGAAAAAAAGCGAGAGAGCAGTAAAGGAGGAAAAAGTCATGATTCGGGTATGGATGGCAAAGGGGGTGAACGGGATTTTGGAGGAAAGAGGACAGTAAGGTCAGGAGTCTGGAGGGAGGGAGAGTCTGTAAACTTTTGTAGGTTAAGAGATCTTTTAGGTGATGTGGGGACAGAATGGTAAGGGGCGCCCTGAATGTCAGTTTATGAGCTTCTTTCTGCAAGAGCTGTCTAGCGGCTAATGCTCGTAGGCAGGGGGCCCATCCCTGAACTGTGGGGTCTAATTGCTTGGAGATATAAGCTACTGGGGCAAAGCATATTGGCCTAGGACTCCTAGAGCTTGACTGGACCTCTCATGAATGTATAATGAGAAGGGCTTCGACAAATCAGGAAGATGGAGAGCTGGGGCTTCCACAAGGGCTTGACGGAGCTTAATGAAGGAGTGTCGGGGTGAGGAGGATAATGGTTTTTTAGGGGGGCTCTTGCTGAGGTTGTATAGGGGTCTTGCCAACAGGGTGCAGGGAGAAGTTAGGGATCTACGTTCTAAAATATCTAGCTAGGCTTAGAAAGGGCCTAGAAAGGAAAGGATTTTTGTCTTGGTTTTGGGAATGGGCAGGTCAGAGAGGAGCCATTTTCTGTCTAAGGTAATGGACTTTCTTTGTTGAGATAGAAGGAATCTGAGGTAAGTGATAGGAGGGGAAGAGATTTGAGCTTTGACGGGGGATACTCGGTAACTTCTGGAAGCTAGAAGGTTAAGTAGGGAGGCAGTGTCAAGTTGAGACTGTTCCCACGAGAGACTGCAGAGTAGAAGATTGTCTATGTATTATAAGGTGGACTTGGAGTGATCATGATGAAACTGTTTGAGGTCCTGAGCTAGGACCTGTCTAAAAATATGGGGACTATCTCGGAAGCTTTGTGGCAAAACTGACCAAGTGAGTTGTTCAGAATGTCTTGTGTATGGGTCCGTCCAGGTGAAGATGAAAAAATCTTGGGAGCAGGGGTCTAGAGGGATAGAAAAATGGGTCTTTGAGATCTAGGACTGAGAAGTGGGATGCTGAGGCTGTATGGATTTGGAACTAAGGGATGGATAGGGACAATGGCTATGTTGATGAGGCGAAGGTCTTGGACAAGGCGGAAAGATCCGTTGGTTTTTTTAACAGCTAATATGGGGGTATTAAATGGGGAGTGAGTGGGTCTGCTTGAATGATGGGTTGGAGGCCTATGAGGGCTGAAGTGGTTAGGGGGTATTGGGCCTGACAGATATACTGAGAGGGGTCACATAATTTGATAGAGGCAGGGGGACATAGGGCCACGGAGGGGCTTGTAATGTCCCAAACTTTGGGATTTACAGGGTGTATGAGGGCAGAACCGGAGCTTTCATTGGGTAGAGGGGGGTCGTCGGCTATGAGGGCCATCAGAAAGGGAGTACTGGGGGCTGTGGGAGTGGATATAGTTATGGAAACGTGGAGGAGGGAAAGGATGTCTCGTCCTAGTAAAGGGATGGGACACTGGGGCATAACCAGGAAGGAGTGGGAGAAAGGTATGGGATTGTCTTGGATTGTGCATAAAAGGGTGGGTGGGGGGTTTAATGGGAAAATCTGTTTACCTCCTACTCTGACTATAGGAGTAATGGCTGGCGTGGTAGGGCCCCGGTATTCTCACAAGACTGAGAAGGTGGCTCCTGTATCTAGGAGGAAGGAGATGGGGTGACCGTCTACTGTTAAAGTAACCCTGGGCTCCTGTTTGGTGATGGAAATGGTCGGGCGAGAAGCCCCCGGGCCCCATCAATCTTCTTCTGCCAGCCCCACTACGGCGGGCTTAGGATGGGGGTTGTTCGTCCAGCCTCCCCTTCGGGTGGTTGGGCAATCAGACCCCCAGTGGCCCTTTTTGTGGCATCTGGGGCATGGGGTGGTAGGAGATCTGGGGGAGGGGCACGCCCTTGACCAATGTCCCTCTTTTCTGCACTTGAAACAAGCTCTTGGGGGGGCTTGTTTGTAGAGGGGCGCCCAGGTTGTGGTTTTATCAGCTGGGCCAACATCTGGAAATTGGCCTGATCAGCCTTTTGTTTACGGCATTCTTTCTCCTCCTCCCGCTTATGGAAGACTTTAAAGGCCACTGTTAGGATCTCAGTCTGTGGGGTAGCGGGGCCCTGTTCTAACTTTTTGAGTTTAGCTTTAATGTCGGGGTAGCTTTGAGCTAGGAAGTATGTCATAAGGACATGTCTTCCTTCAGGTGTTTCTGGGTCCAGGCTGGTATACTGTAATAGGGCTTGAGTGAGTCTGTCTAAGAACTCGGAGGGGGTTTCGTCTCTCTTTTGAATTATGTCTTGGAGCTTTTGAAAATTGACTACTTTACGAGCTGCCTTTTTCAGACCTGCTATTAAGCAGGAGGCAAAAATATCTCGAGAGCGGAGACCCATGGCGGTGTTATAATCTCAGTGTGGGTCTTGTTCGGGGACAGCAGTGGGGCCAGGGGGATAGGTGGGGTCAGTCCTGTGGGTTTCGGTAGCGTGCATTTGGGCGAAGTCCTAAACTCGTCTACGCTCTTCAGGGAGGAGAGTATTGGCCAGGAGCATGAAAATGTCATGATGTGTGAGGCTGTAAGACTGGAGGGTCCATTGAAACTCCCTGATGTATGTCGTGGGATCAGTGGAAAAGGAACCTAGGCGTTTCTCTAGTTGGGCTAAATCTCCTAAGGAGAAAGGGATGTAAATGCGCATGATGCCTTTGGATTCTGCTACCTCCCGGAGGGGGGCAATAATTTTGGGAGGCTCTCAGGACTGAGTCTGAGGGGGACTGAAGGGTTCTGGCTCAGTCTGTGGGTGAGTGACGTGGTCTAGCTGCGCCTAGTCGAGCAGGTCCTGAAGTGCGGAAGGGGGGCAAAGAAAATAAAGAAAGATAGAATCGGACCCACATGTCACCAGCTAGCAGCCCAGCTGCTTGCTTCTGCCACTCTAGTTGGGCTTGAACTCATGACTTTGAGGTTAAGAGTCCCATGCTCTACTAACTGAACTACAGCAGGGCTCCACTTAATTGCTTATGGAATGTGTAAACAGAATGTTCTTTGTTCTCCATTCCTGCCATATCAGCAAGTGGGGGAAGGGCATATCTAGAAGCAGGGGTGGTGTTTCTACACATCTTCAAGGTCTCCCTATTTTCAGAGTGAGGAGTCTTGGCAAGATATGTTTTTGTGGACAGATAACTTCTAAGGACTGCACGTTTTTGTGGACAGATAACTTCTAAGGACTGCACCGGTTGTTCTCTAGCTTGTGCTTTCCCATGCTGTGTTCAGACATGGGGGAAGGTGCTTTCCCATTCTCCCTACAAACATGTGAGAAGACAAAGGCAGTCCCTAACAGAGGAGAAACAGGTGATGAGGGCAAAGACGGAGGAGGCCCCCGGGACCTAGTTAAAGGGGGGGCTGAAAGGCTCAGGCTTAATCTGTGGGGGACGAAGGCGGAGGAGGTGAGATGGGGGAGGAGATGGTGGGGGTGGAAGGGAGAAGGGCTGTTGTAGGAGAAGAAGGGGAAGGGAGTGAACGGGAGTCTTCTGCAGGGGCAGCGGCTTGCAGGCTAGGAGAACTTGGGAGGGGGCTGGGAGAGGAGGAGGCGGAAAGCTTCGATATAGGAAATCTCCTTCCATTTTTTCAGGTGCTGGCAGTAGTTAAAAAGATCGTGAGTGATGTTAGGATCAAGAGTTCCCCCTGCAGGCCATTGGTTGTTATTGTCTAGGGGGTATGTCGGCCAATCTTGGGAGCAATATTTACGGAGAAGTTTTGGTTTTATATCAGGCGTCAGGGAGAGGGTAGCCAGATGCTTAAGCAGGCATTCAAGAAGTGAACTTTCAGGGAGGGATGAGGAGGCTCCCATGGCTAAAGGACAGAGAAGGAGACAAACAGGGGAAGATGAATGGAGATCCTCGGACTGGAAGCAGACCGCAAGGAGACAAAGGGCGTCCCCGATGATCCTTGGTGGTCTGCGGAAGCTCGTATACGAGTCAGAATTTCTTAGGAAGTGTGGGTCATCACCCAGACTTCCCTAAGAAGGCAGAGTGCCGGAGTCCCGAGGTACCTAGTACTAGGAGTTTTTGGCAGACAGAACAGATTTCGGCGGACAGAGCAGAAGGAGGAAGGGGGGGGAGGGAGCGTTCTCATCCCCAAAGGAGTCACCTTGTTTATGGCTGTTGGAGGGGGGTGCCTGAGAGTCTGCCGCAGCCGTGAAGGCCTGAGGCGGGGATTTATGGCTGTCGGAGGAGGGGCCTGAGGGTCCACCGCCACCGTGAAGGCCTGAGGCAGGGTGAGTTCCCTCCTCGTCCCGAGTGTCAGGGCCTTGCCGGACGATCACGGTAAATGGCACTGCGATAGCTTGGAGAAGAGTGGCCCACCCCGGGGAAATTTTGCTTAAAAAGTTTCAGCACTGATGGAAGGGACGGTGACTGCATTTATGGCTGTTGGAGGAGGGGCCTGAGCATCCGCCGCAGCTGTGAAGGCCTGAGGCGGGGAGAGTTCCCTCCTCATCCCCGAGCATCAGGGTCTTGCCAGACCATCACGGTCAATGGCACTGCCATAGCTCGGGGAAGAGTAGCCCACTCCGGGGGGAAAACTTACCTAAAGGCCAGAGAGGAGTGGTGAGTGTGATGAGCCAGTGCCGGAAAAAGAGGATGAGGGCAAGCTGCTGCTGGTGTCGGGGGGAAGACGGGGCCCAGTTGGGGTGTCCCGTCTCCCAGGTTTTGGCACCAATGAAAGGAAAGGAGCGACACAGCAGCAATTTACCGGAGAATTCCGCTTTATTAGGGAAAGGTGCTGGGTTATATAAGAAGGGGCATGAATTGATTGAGGTGTCACTTCTACGGGGCTGGTGGCTGTTGGCTAGGTGCTGGGATTGGGAGGGGGGCGAGAGGTGATTGGGCTTCAGGTGGCGCTGGCGGGAACCGAGGACCCCAAAGAGAAGCCGGAAGTTTGCCATCTTACTGGTGGGGGCCCTTCAGTAGGTTTGAGAAAAATCATCAATGTGGCTGCAGCAGAGTAAGGGAGAGGAGGAGTGGGCAGTGGATCAGAGAGGACCCTGTGCCAGATTATGCCGTTCCTTGTAGTCCATGTAGGAATCTGAGATTTCCCTTGCAGATGAAATAGGAAGCACAGAAGGATTTGAGCAGAGAAGGGAACCTGATAGTGTTTGTTTAGTCTTGACCATTTCAACGGATAAATGTAACCACTGGTTCACTGAGACCTAGGCAACCCATACCTTCCCCTTAACTTCTTTCCTTTCCATTTTAAAACTCTTCTATGTCTTCTTCCACCCTTTTTCTTTCCTTTTTAGAGAAAACTTCTCTCCCTTCATAGGACTCACCCCTCCAGCAGCTCCATACAAACCCACTTTCCTTCCTGTGAATAAATTACTTTTAAATAGCTTGAGGTTTATGTAAATTATTAACTATGAAAGGGAAATGCCAGGGGATTATGTAAACTTTCAGTATATACTTGACTCAGAAAATCCTTCTCCTCCCTCTGGAATGTCTTCACCAATCAAGAAAAGGCACTCAGGGCATAGCCTGCTTCTTTCAACTGTCACACCACTTGTCCCTCATGTTTTGGCTGCTAACACGACTAAAGCAGATATGAGAGTTCAAGTTTCAGGGCTGCTACTCCAGGAAACAGATCTGCCATCATCTCCAGCTGTGTCAGAATCTGTCACTTTAGTGAGTACAACCTTAATCTATCTCCTGTGTAAGGTTTGCTGGGCTGGTATGTGCACCTTTGAGCAAAGATAACAAACAAGCAAACAATACCAATCAACCAAATTTCTCTCACTGAGGTCTTGGGTAGCCAAGGTGTTTGTCAGAATTTCTCAGTTGTTGTGTACTCTTGTCTAGTAAGTGACCAGAAGTCTGTACGCAAAAGGTCGTAAACAGCAGCTCGATTTTTCACTTTAAGTCTTTTGGTGTTATTTAATTTTTTAAAAAACTATGTGTATTAACTTGATTAAATATTTTGGAAAAAATTGTGTGAGTTGCGCTGAGTTTTTCACTGTATTGTCTACTTAGCTTCTCACCCTACTCAGTGGCAGATAGGAATCAATCTTCTGCATCACCCAGAAAGTATGCAAAATACCTCTAGGAAACTCTGGGAAATAAATATATGCAAACACAAGGACATAACCTGGGAGCAGCCACTTTTCTCCATCAGGTTGTCAAGGCAGCTCCAAAAATCCTGTATAGAAGTTTAAGGCAGGGTCTTACTAGGGCTGGGAGACAGTAGGGGCTTCATCTTGCTTGAAGGCTATATATGCTAAGCCATTGTTACTACTTGGATTACTTGGTGGGGGAGGTAATTATGGAGACTAAAACCCCTTCGCACTGCTGTTTATAGGAATGTAGAGCCTGCATTTTGAATGAGACCTTAAGTACTTTCAAAAGTCTATCTGACTAGCAGCAGTACTGTCTTTTTTAGAAGTTTCCTGTGGCTCGGCATAAAAATCTGGACTCATGCTTGGAAAGTTAGCTCTTTCACCTGCAAGGAGAATTGGAAACCTGCAAAATGGACACTGTGAAATGCTAAGATCCCTGAAATGACAGGAAAAGAACTTCACTGGGGAGAAGGCAAAATTATGGTTTAAATGAGGAGGATGTTGTTATTTTCTTTTTGTTGGAACAGAATTCGTAGGCTTATTTTAAGCTCCACATGACTAGTCAATTTTCTTTTTAACATATTTTTGAAGGATTCCAAATGTGGTGAATGAAATAGTTTCAAAATTTCATCTTAATTGCAAAATAATTGAAACAATCCAAATGATGGCCAGTAGGGGACTGACTTAAATTATGGTGCAGCTGTTCATTGGAATGCCATGCAGCTGTTTAAAAACAACAAAAATGAGGAAGTCCCTCAGTATTTTGATAGGAAAGCCCTCCAAAAATTTATTGTAAAATGAAATTTTAATGGGCAGAACAGTATATATTCTAGGCTACCCGTTGCATAAAAGTGGTGGAGATATAAGAATCTATAATCATTTGCTTGAATACACATAAAGAAACCCTGAAAAGATCTGCATGGAAATAATCACAGTGGTTTCCTAAGGGAGTAGAGATGGATGAAACTGGGCAGTGAGAGATGGGGGTGGAAGGTAGATTTTTCACTGTGGACCTTTGTTGTTTTTTGAACCACTTGTAAACATTCTCCAAAAAATTAAAAACAAAGAGAGAAGTTACAACACTGGAAACTTAGTGTTGTCTGCTAAACTTCTCCGTTCAGGTGAAGGAAACCTGATACTAATTCTGGAAAAAGGGAGGTAATTGCCAAATATGCAGGCTGACTTGCCAATAAACAGCAGAGAGGGGTGGTTCCTTTTCTACTCAAATCCCCACTGCCAAACAGAATGACATCTGAAGACTTAAGGGCTTATTTCTGTTCTAAAGAGCAGCCTCTTCTCCTAGAGCCTCCTAGAGAATTGCCAAGGGATCTGTATTAACTCTTCCCCTTCCACAGCCCTTAGGTGATAGGTAACACTTTATTAAACCTGAAATATTGGGAAAAGCTTAAGTTGAGAACTCTTCCCCTCAATTTTCCTATATTTTAAATGTTTCATATCATTCCACTTCTGAGCTATTATCTGTGTAGATCAGCTCTGTCCCCAAGAATGTTCTGTGATGACAGAAATTTTTGTGTCTGTACTCTATGTGGTAGCCACTAGCCACATGTGGCTTTCAAGCACTTGAAATATAGCTAACATGATTAAGGAACTAATTTTCAAATAGTATTTAAATTAGTTTTAATTAATTAATTAATTATTTTTGAGAGGGCATCTCTCATATTTATTGATCAAATGGTTGTTAACAACAATAAAATTCTGTATAGGGGGGTCAATGCTCAATGCACAATCATTAATCCATCTCAAGCCTAATTCTCGTCAGTCTCCAATCTTCTGAAGCATAACGAACAAGTTCTTACATGGTGAACG